GGGGGAAGGTTGATGAGAGAGGAGAAAAAAGAAAGAGAAAATAAATTAGGAAAAGAAAAAACTGATCTCTTACGCTCTTAAAGAAAGTGTCATTCACACACTGCCACCTCACCAAGTTGTGTCTAATAGACACAGTTTAACTTGAGTTGAGGTGTTCAATAGGTACTTGCCCTAGTTCAAGTGTCTAAATGAGAATAGCAGACAAGTTTAGGGGTCCACATATGTATTTGGCCTTCCTTGTTCTTGTGGTCAACCTGAACTCCCAGATAAGGATCCCTCTTATATGCCGTTTACAACAAATTGAAGTCGTTGCTTCTTGCTCTTTTACAGTTTTCCTGAACTTTTTGTTGTCTGAAGTCTTTCTAGTGGCTAGCAGTTATTATTTGTACCGTGGAAGCCAAGTACTTTCCCAACAAGTGATAAAGACTTATTTCTTTTGCCTGTAGTAAGGAAATTGGACCATGTTCCTGTTTGAAACCCAGCTTCGCTGTTGGCACACTATAAGATGCTGGTCGTTGTTGAGAACATTGGGTCATTAATAAGATGGAGGCTTTATGAATTTATCCAATAGAAGTGGAATGTCGTTTTTGTTGTTTCATTTCTTGTTGCAAGTGTATTAAACTTGATTTTTCTCTATTGGCCACAGTATCCAGCCAGCAACACAGAATTTTCTTCAGAGTTCTTAGAACTAGAACATCTGAAAGACCTTGGTTCTGCTTTACTTGATGCCCTTCAAGGAGAACCTGATGAGAAGCAATCGAGGTACTGCAGATATAGTTTGGCTTTTTTATAGGTACCTGATGTTGCAGCAGTTTATTGGCTGGCCTTGCCAAATTGATGAAGCTACCACATCGCTTCCACTACTTTCAATTGTAAAAGCTCTTTTTGTTTCTCTCTTTCCAGGAATCATGTTTCCAAGCGGCCTGACGTTAATGAAGATGAGAAAATTGACGACGAGTGGTGGAATTTATGTGACAATCTTTGGAATGCTATAAGTGAGATGAATGGCAAGGGACCAAGCAAGATGTTACCCAGGTCCTCACAGTCAGTAACACCATCACTTAGCCAAAGAGCCCGTGGCTTGGTAGAATCACTGAATATACCAGCTGCAGAAATGGCTGCAGTTGTCGTATCAGGGGGGATTAGCAATGCTTTGGCTGGAAAACCCAACAAGCCTGTTGATAAGGCTATGCTTTTAAGAGGGGAAAAGTGTCCAAGAATTGTATTTCGGTTGATTATCCTATATCTTTGTAAATCATCGCTTGAACGAGCATCTCGATGTGTACAACAGGTTATCCCCCTTCTGCCTTGCCTTCTGACTGCTGATGATGAGCAAAGCAAGAGCCGCTTGCAGCTTTTTATTTGGTAATGCTTCATAATTCATTTATCTTTCCTATGTCTCTTAAATTATTTGGTATTGTCTGGCTTCTTTCTGGCTTATCATTTGTATTGACAAGACATGACATTCAATTCAACACATGTTTAGGGCATTACTCGCAGTTAGGTCTCATTATGGGGCGCTGGATGACGGGGCTAGATTTCATGTTATAGCTCGCATGATTCGAGAAACTGTCAATTGCGGGAAATTGATGCTAGCTACAAGTATTGTGAGCAGAGATGATTCTTTAGAGTCAGGGAGCAGTACTAAAGAGGGAAGCACCATTCACAATCTGATTCAAAAGGATCGTGTGCTTTCTGCGGTGCGTACTATGCTATATAACTTAATATTTTGTACTTTAGAGTTAGGTCATTCTGGTGAGTACATGCATGAAAGTTGTGAATTCTGTTATTTCTCCCACCATGGCCGCTTCGTAGTCTTAAGAAAAAAAATTTTGTTCCTTTTTTCAGTAGTCTCCCTGCCTTTTTTTTGTATCTCCTACTCCTTGGATTGGCTTTTGGTTGAAGTTTTCAAATTCCATTTATGTATTTTTGTTCCAGGGAGTTGCCATACTTGCTGGTTTGTTACCAATAGAATGTTTGACCTTTATTATGAAAATAAGTTATTGAAAGAAGTGGACAAAATCCCTGCGTCCAAATTCTAATACACAAAGTAAGGACACTTATAAAAGAATGTGGTTCTCTAATCTCTACAGACAGCAAGTCATCAACACTGACTGGAATCTCATGTATTCTACAAAATGTAGAGAAAACAAGGTCCGAGGAATGGACAATGTAACTTATAGTAAGTTGGGATACTGGACTTGAGAAGCCGGAATGCTGGATAAAGTACTCCTAATTGATTTCTCTTTTCCTCCTTTTGACAATTTACCTCTTTTCCATCCTACTAATCTCTTCCCAACTCTCTCAGTCGTTGCTTTCCTTATTGCTTGGTCTTTATGATACACCCCCAAAGGTAAATCCGAATAGGTGATTGGGAGGGATACTTTTCAGCTGAGGAGTGCTGCCGAGTACTAAACATTACTCACCTCGTCCAGTGGAATTATTTCACATATGTTTAGGGTTATTCTCTAGTCTGGGACTAATTGAAAATTTTACAATGTGTTCCTCAGCCTAAGGAGCTAATCCTCATCAGCCTGATATAACAACTGTGTTCTCTGCAAATAACAATTGAGACACCTGAATGTTGGTTGAGAAAGCCCCTGAAAGAACTTCCAATTACCGCTCTGTCCCTCGTTTTGCTGAGTGCCTCAGTGACCAAAATGAACAGCTATTATTCGTTAAAACTAAACTGTTGACGACTTCTGTTCTAACACTTAAAATGTTGGGGCTTAATGAAACCGGAAGGTGGCCATCTATGTTAGTCTAACATTGGCGGGACAGTATGTGGTTAGAATTTTCTTTGTCGTGAGCTTGTTTGCAGAAACTTTGCTTCTCTTTTTTTTCTTTCCGTTTTTTATTTTTTCACTTATGCTTTATGCCTAGTGAAATTTCTGTCCATCTTGTCCAGTTTGCTGATGAAGTAAAATATGTCAAGAGTTCAATAGCAGATAGGACCATGCAGTTGCATGAGCTTCGTGTTAGGTTGGATGAAACTGCAATTGCAGATTCCAACCAAAAGAAAGCTTTTGAAGATGAAATGCAGAGTAGTTTAAATGTCATTCTTGCCTCCGATGACAACAGAAGGAGTTCTTTCCAACTAGCATATGATGAACATCAGCAAATAGTTGCTGTAAGTATAAGAAATATTGTCACTGGCTTGTTGCTTCTATGCTTCCCACATCGAGCTTTTCATAACAGTGCTTAACAGTATAGGTTTTTGCTCTTATAGGGTAAATGGATTCACACTTTTCGCTCTCTCATTGATGAAAGGGGTCCTTGGTCAGCTGATCCATTTCCAAACAGCACAGTAACACACTGGAAACTTGATAAAACAGAGGACGCATGGCGTTGCCGTCAAAAGTTGAGACGGAATTATCATTTTGATGAAAAGCTTTGTCGTCCTACCTCTACCACACCTAGCGTTGTGGCTCTTAATCCTTTCAATGATTCCAAAGCCGGTTTTGCAGCACATATTCCAGAGCAAATGAAGAGGTTCTTGCTGAAAGGGATAAGGAAGATTACGGATGAGGGTTCATCTGAATTGAATGAAAGTGAGAGCGAACTTAGTGGGCAAAAGCCTGGCTCGGAGGACTTGTCAGATAGACAGTATTTGGAGGTCGTAAAAGAGAGTGGTGATCTGAAGGACATTGCTAAGGAAGACTTAGATTGCTCCTCCACGCAGATGGAATCAGAAGATAGTGAGGTAAAAATTTATCTCTACATCTAGATAAAGCAATGACCTAATTCAGCATTTCTAATGCTTGGATTTATTTTCAGGTTCTCATGTCAGTCCCCTGTGTCCTTGTTACACCAAAGAGAAAGTTAGCTGGACATCTAGCAGTGAAAAAGAAATTTTTGCATTTCTTCGGTGAGTTTCTGGTCGAAGGTACAGGAGGGTCATCCGTTTTCAGAAACTTTGACTCTTCTGGGAAGTTTGATGTCAACAAGTCTGATCAGTTAGGGGGACTACAAAATCACAAATTTCTCAAATGGCCCATCAGTTTTGATTTAGATTGTGAGAGAGGAAGATCCATTAATAGCATTGGTGCTGTTAATAATGATGCGCATCAAAAGCATCCTAACAATATAAATCGGCACAGGAGATGGAGCATCTTCAAGGTATTGGAGCTGAAGCTGTTCTGTAAGATTTAATTCATATTCTTTGTCCTAAATCTTATCTTCTCAAACGTTTCTCATTGTAGGTAAAGGCTGTCCATTGGACTAGATATTTGCTAAGATATACAGCAATTGAGATTTTCTTCAATGATTCCACTGCTCCTGTATTTTTTAACTTTGCGTCGCAAAAGGATGCCAAAGACGTTGGAAGCTTAATAGTTATAAACAGAAATGAGAGTATGTTTCCCAAGGGTTACAGGGACAAGGCTGGAGTTATTTCCTTTGTGGACAGACGTGTGGCATTGGAGATGGCAGAAAATGCTAGAGAACGCTGGAAGAGGAGGGAGATAACAAACTTTGAGTATTTGATGATCCTGAACACTCTTGCTGGTAGATCTTACAATGATTTGACCCAGTATCCCGTGTTCCCTTGGGTTCTGGCTGATTATTCTTCGGAGACTCTTGATTTTAACAAATCTTCGACCTTTAGGGATCTTTCAAAACCTGTTGGAGCACTGGATATTAAAAGGTTTGAGGTTAGTCAATACTTATTTGTTGAGTAAGTTCGCATATAATTATAGCTCTCTGTTTGTGATGCAATACCAGTTGACCTCTGCAGGTCTTTGAGGATAGATATCGTAACTTCTGTGACCCTGATATTCCCAGGTAATATTTGAATTTTCGTCTTGGTATATCCTTCAAAACGTAACCTTTGATACGGTACATGATGTGCAATCATTCTTGCTTTAAACAGTTTTTACTATGGTTCTCATTACTCGAGCATGGGAATTGTGCTATTTTACCTCCTGAGGTTGGAACCTTTTACAGCCCTCCACCGTAATCTTCAGGTACTTGGAGTATAGCTCATACTATTGATCATTGGTTTCGATAGTTTATAGCTAAAGTTGTCTAATCCTTTAGTGATTCATCTACCCGGCAGTGTCGAGATTGATTGTGTTTTTGAGTTTGTGTCTTCTACCCAGGGTAAAGTTTTTAACGACTAATAATTTTTTTTGTCTTCTTTGTTTTCTCAACTTTTAGGGTGGCAAATTCGATCATGCTGACCGGCTTTTTCATAGCATTGGAGGAACATATCGGAACTGCCTTTCTAATACAAGTGATGTGAAAGAGTTGATTCCTGAATTCTTTTACATGCCAGAATTTCTGATCAACTCAAACTCATACCATTTTGGTGTCAAACAAGATGGAGAACCAATAGGTGATATTTGCCTACCGCCATGGGCCAAGGTATGGTCTCATTGCATATTTCTACTGAAGGCGTGGTTTAAGTTTTTCTTCAGCTGTATGATGAGTGCTTGTATCCCACCTGAGGGGGAAAATATGAAAAATGCCTAAGAAAGGGAACTGGAAGCAAATTATAAGAGGTTCTCTATGCCTATAACCAGACTCCAGCCCAACACAGATGATTGCTATAGCATGTTTTTGTGGGCTATCATATACAAAAAGCTCTCCTGATATGCAGGGATTGGAATAAAGACCCATTTCAAAGAGGATTTAAATCTTCAAATTTGTGTCTCCAGTGTATAGAAGCTTAAAGCAATGAGTGGCATAATACATGTGTCTATTAACCCCTTTGGATGTGCCTATATACCCGATGTAAGGTGTTAGATATCTCAAAGACATTCCTTAAAATGTAACTGTGAGAAAGCACGAGAGAAAATATTATTGATATTATTCTCTTATGTTAAACATGATACAATGAGCCCTATATATATACATAACATGTCCTACTCCTAATACATATGGGATTACGGTTATTTACTACTATTTACATAACTATTCTAACACTCCCCCTCAAGCTGGTGCATATAAATCATATGTACCGAGCTTGTTGCATATGTAGTTAATATGAGGACCGATGAGGGACTTGGTGAAAATATCTGCAAGCTGATCATTCGACTTCACAAACGTTGTAGCAATATCCCTGAGAGTATCTTTTCTCTGACAAAGTGACAGTCAATCTCAATGTGTTTAGTTCTCTCATGGAACACTGGATTTGACGCAATATGAAGAGCAACTTGATTATCACACACAAGTCCCACATGACTAATCTCACCAAATTTCAGCTCCTTGAGCAACTGTTTGATCCAAATTAGCTCACATGTCGCCATAGCCATTGCTCGATATTCTGCTTCTGCACTAGACCGAGCAACCACATTCTGTTTCTTGCTCTTCCAAGATACCAAATTTCCTCCTACTAAGACACAATATCCAGAAGTAGAACGTCTATCAGAAGGTGATCCTGCCCAATCAGCATCTGAGTATCCAACGATCTGCTCATGGCCTCGATCCTCAAACAATAAACCTTTGCCTGGAGCTGATTTTATATACCGAAGAATGCGAACAACTGCATCCCAATGACTATCACACGGAGAATCCATAAACTGACTCACAACACTCACAGGAAAGGAAATGTCAGGTCTTGTCACTGTAAGGTAATTTAATTTACCAACCAACCGCCTATATCTTGCAGGATCGCTAAGAGGCTCCCCTTGTCCTGCCAGAAGTTTAGAATTCAGATCCATCAGAGTGTCAATAGTTCTACAACCTGTCATTCCTGTCTCCTCCAGAATATCTAAGACTTCCGTTGTGAGATCACAATACCTGAGCTAGACTTAGCGACATCAATACCCAGAAAATACTTTAGTTTGCCCAGATCCTTAGTCTGAAAGTGTTGAAAGAGATGTTGCTTCAATTTAGTAATACCATCCTGGTCATTGCCGGTAATATAAATACAGAGACTCGAAGTAGAATGCTGATAGAATACAGAGTGATCAACTTCACTCCGAGTCATACCAAATTCCTGGATAACTGCGCTGAACTTACCAAACCAGGCTCGAGGAGACTGTTTTAGACCATAAAGTGACCGGCGCAGGCGACATACAAGGCCACGAGACTCCCCCCGAGCAACAAACCCAGATGGTTGCTCCATATAAACTTCATCCTCAAGGTCACCGTGTAAAAAAACATTCTTAATGTTCAGCTGATAGAGGGGCCAATGGCGAACATCAGCCATGGATAGAAAAAGGCGGACTCATGCTATCTTAGCCACGTGAGAGAAGGTATCACTGTAATCGAGCCCAAATATCTGAGTATATCCCTTGGCAATAAGACGAGCCTTAAGACGATCAACCTTACCATCCGGACCAACCTTGACTGCATACACCCAACGACAACCAACAGTAGATTTACCTGAAGGAAGAGGGACGAGCTCCCAAGTACCACTCGTATGTAAAGCAGACATCTCGTCAATCATAGCCTGTCGCCATCCTGGATGAGACAATGCTTCACCTGTAGACCTAGGGATGGAAACAGAGGACAAAGAAGATAGAAAAACATAATAGGGTGATGACAAACGATGATAACTTAAACCGACATAATGGGGATTAGGATTAAGGGTGGTTCGTATACCTTTCCGAAGTGCAATCGGTGTAACTAGGAAGAGACAAGTCCGCAATAGGAGCAGAGTCAGGTGCAGGACGTGAATCAGTTGGGCCTAATGCTGGGTGCGGACGACGATGATATGTCAAGAGTGGTGTTTCTGTGGCGGGGAGTCTAGGAGGNGCATACAGAATCTGATTCTGGATGGGAGATGAAGGCATCCGATTAACCAAATAACGAGCTGTGAGAACTGCATCGCCCCAAAAACGCAACAGAACATGAGATTCAATGAGAAGTGTGAGCAGTCTCAATAATGTTTCTTTCTCTCTACAACCCCATTTTGCTGAGGGGTATAAGGACAAGAGGTCTTATGAATAATTCATTGAGAAGTCATAAACTGCTGAAATTGAGAGATAAATATTCTAAGGCATTATCACTGCGATAAGTGCGAAAGAAACACCAAATTGATTTTTAATTTCAACACAAAAATTCTGGAATATAGAATACAACTCAGAACGATCTTTCATTAAGAAAATCCAAGTACATCTTGAATGATCCTCAATGAAACTAACAAAATATCCCAAGGTTGAACTGACTCTACTAGGACACCATATATCAGAATGAACTAAAGTAAAAACAGACTCTGCATGACTCTCAATGCTACGGGGAAATGAGGCTCGGGTATGTTTCCCGAGCTGACATGACTCACACTCTAATGTAGATAAACTAGACAAACTAGGCACCATCTTCTGAAGCTTGGATAAGCTTGGATGTCCTAAACGTCTGTGAATTAGGTCTGGGGGATCTGTAACTAGACATGCCTCGGAGGAAGTGAGTGAGTTAAGGTAGTAAAGGCCTTCTGATTCAAGTCCTGTTCCAACCGTCTGTCCCGTACTGCGGTCCTGCATAATAAAAGAATCATCAATAAAATATACAACAATGGAGGGCACGAGTTAAACGACTAATAGATGCAAGATTAAAAGGACAGTCAGGGACATAAAGAACGGAATCTAGAGCGACATAGGGTAGGGGATTCGCTTGTCCAATTCCTTTTGCTTTAGTTTGAGGCCCATTGGCTAAAGTAACAGTGGGAAGAGACTGTGAATACACAATATTTGACAAAAGGGATTTATTATCAGAGATATGATCAGAAGCGGCTGAGTCCACAACCCATTGTCCAAGAGTACTAGACTGGGAAACACAAGCAAAAGAATTACCTGCAACAGAAGTATCAGTCTGAGCAACAGAGGCTACTTGTGGAGATGTCTGCTTACTTGCTCGATTTTGAAGGAACTCATTATACTCCCCTTCGGATAAAGAAAATCCCTGGTTACCTGTAGTCTCGGTCTGAGCAACATAAGCATTTTTGGGTGGTCGACCATGTAAAGAATAGCACACGTCATGGGTGTGTCCAAGTTTATGACAATAAGAGCACTCGGGTCTAGATCTTCCAAAACGACCTCCTCCTCGTCTATTCTCCATAGTATGAGATGCCTGATTGTCCACTATCTGGGATGCGAGAACAGATGAGTCGAGTGTCTGTGATGAGATCACTGGGTGACTTGGTGCTGCAGCAAGGGGAAGTAATCGAGAGAATAATTCATCAACTGTGGGGACAGTCGGACTAGCCAAAATCTGATCGCGTACTAAGTCAAGATCATTAGGAAGCCCAGCAAGAGTAAGAACTAGAAACATCTTTTGTCGCTGCTCGTGCTGCTTTTGAACACTCGCAGAAACTGACATCAACTTCTCAAATTCCTCCATGACTGCCTGTACTTGTCCCAAGTAAGTAGACATATCTAATTCATGTTTCTTTAAATTTGTCATCCGCGATATCACATCATAGAAACGAGATATGTCATTAGTGTATAAAGTGCGAGCCTTTTCCCAAACCAAATAACATGTCTGGAATGGACGAAACAAGTGCATCAACTTGGAATCAATAGATCGCCACAGAATACTGCATAATTGAGCATCGATCTTCTCCCAAAGTGCTTTGGCCTTTTCATCTCCTCCACTAGATTTCGTGATTAGATGATCTTGAACACCTTGACCTTTACACCACAACTCGACAGACGAAGCCCAAGCTAAGTAGTTTGAACTTCCCATTAAAAGTTCTGAGGTAACCATAACACCGGAACTGCCAGAACCCGGGTTTTTAGACCCGAAGGCATCGACTCCCAAAGACATCGTTGGATTGAAGTGAGACCTATAAAATTATCACCAAATAACAGAAAGAATCAACTGAAAACTCGCCGAAACAGATGAAGGAAACACTGTTTTTGCCGGATACTGTAGTTGCCGGAAAAAAATCAAAGTGGTCGGAATTAAAAAATAAAATTATGGGTAGGCTCGGAATTTGAGGGCGATTCAACTGCTTTGAAGGAATTTCATCAAAAAGTGCCCGGAAAGTGCCTCACGTGCCGGCGCGTGGGCGTCGGATCTTCGCCGGAGAAATTCTTCCAGCGGCGCGTGCAGCCTTTTCTGCCGGAGATTTTTGAATGGGTTGGTCGCCGAGCTCTGATCTACTTTCCGGTGGTGTTGGTTTTTGCACAACACTGACGGATAGTATGATTCTTGAGGACAGACTTGTTTTTGCCGAAAAAAGAGCTTCCGGTTAACTGTTTTCTCTTCCCGGAGTCGGCTGGAATTTATGCATAGCGATAAATTTCTCACGGTTGCTCTGATACCATGTGAGAAAGCACGGGAGAAATATTATTGATATTATTCTCTTATGTTAAACATGATACAATGAGCCCTATATATACATAACATGTCCTCCTAATACATATGGGGTTAGGGTTATTTACTACTATTTACATAACTATTCTAACAGTAACTAGTCAATTGTTCACGTATGGATTAATGATTGAATTTGCGGCTAAGAGAGCAAGGTTAACCAAAAGAGTTTCTCTGATAACATGTGAAAGAGTTTAAGCATCCAGCTCAAAACATTAAAATAGTGGGTGGAATAGTTTAGGACTTTCCTAAACATTTCTGATGCTCCTGTATGCCCAATGTTGGGCATGGAATATATCTATAAGGGGATTTATTATATGGATGATGCCTGCAATTCTACTCTTTTCATTAGTCATCAAATAACGATGTCAGGTGCTCCTCTCCTCTATCTTGGAAGTGAGCTTAACTGTTCTACGGAGAATCAATTTTATATGGAAAGGAACTACTTTTGGCTTTTTCTCGTTTTTGTATTTTGTTTAGACGAAAGGAAAAAAATAGGCCCTGAAATGAATCATTCGAAAACCATAAATATCATGTTGAACTGTTGGTACAAATAGAACAGAGTTTCTCATTCTTCAGTTCAACCCATTTATATCCATACGTCAACCCTACATACATGAAAAGGGTCTTTGTCATGTGAAACATATATAAGAAGGGAATCTAGAGATGGAGTGTGAGTGATAAAATGGGAAAGTACAACTCAGTTTTGCTGGATGGAACTAGTAGTCTTTGGAGAAAGCAATAGAGAAGAGCAGTTTGCAGCAAAGGTGCAGTAAGAATTGTGATTTTTTAGTTCCTACTATTTAAAATGATGCATCCTGGAGTATCATTTTGAAGTAGCAAAAATGTGCTCAATCCATCATAATTTGGTTTCAAATTGAGTTCATTAGTTTATTATGCACCCAAACGACTTCATGGAATTTTGGCTTTACTTGTTTCTTGTCTCTTGGCTAGAGAAACGGGAAAAACGCCATAGACCCTGAATATAAATCATTTGAACACCGTAAAATGATATTCTCTGTTCGTGCAAATAAACAGGGGTTTATCATGGTTCAATTTAGTGTTGTTGAAGGCTCATTTGAGGCACGCTTAAGCCCTGAAATCGGTTAAAGTGAAGTTGTGCGCTCCATCTCGCGTAAGTAGCGCTTTATTTAAGCTCTTAACAGTGTAGTCAAGGGCGCGCTTAAGCCTTGTAGTGATGCGCAAAACATGTTGAGTGCTTCTCGCTTAGCGGGCCCTTCAGAGTCGTCATCAAGGCTCTAAGGCATACTTTGCCAGTGAACATAATCTTGAGGAGGCAACAACAACAACATGCCCAGTGTAGTCCCACAAGTGGGGTCTGGGGAGTGTAGAGTGTTCGCAGTCATTACCCCAACCTTTAAGAAGGCAGAGAGGCTGTTTCCGGTAGACCTTCTGCTCCGGAAAAATAAATGGAGCCAAAGAAAAATATCTCCTCCTATAGTGACTGACCGGTGTGTAAAGAATTGAGAGAACAATAAACTGAATACGGTTCATAGTTGAGTGCTGGAATGTTCTGTGGCTCATTAATATTGAAGATAATAAGACGACCTTCTATTAGAGGGATATTCTACAATCATTATTGGTTATAACTCTTTTTGGACCCAAATAAACTAGTTCTGAAGATACAAGTGAAGTAGAATTCAAAAGCAAAAATCATGAACAGATCATCTAATTCTGGCGCACTCAAAGTATGAACATAGATTGCCTTCCATGTTTTCTATTGGATCTACAGAAAATATAATTACCTACAACAAAGATAAATTTAACTCGATCTGATCTAATTAACAGCTGACCTTAGCTTAAATTCTTCAAAAAATTTGCTCTTAAGCATAGATGACGTCTCTTGCCATGAAGATAGGGGCAAAAGCCACCAACTCCCCAGAATTCCAACAAAAGTAAACTCCTGATCTTTTTGTTCGACCTTAGCCAGAGAGAGAAGCAGATAATCTGCAACTTCAACTTTCTTTGCATATATGATATTTCGCTTTATCGTAAAAAAATTCAATTTCTTTGTCCATATATTTGTTATTCATGCTTATAATTATTAGTCTTGGACTACACACATATATTTGTTATTCATGCCCACTCTTTATTTGCACTTTGCGCTTAAAGCCCCAACGGACGTCAAAGAATTTTGCGCTTTTCTCCTTTGATAACACTGGATCGAGCAGATAGGGAATTAAAAGTCTACGTTAGTCTGAAAATATGCAGAGTGGTTGTGTTTTCCTTCTCTGAAGCGCATGCCTTCACCTATGAGGCACTAATCCTCTCGCTTCGCATCGCTTGAGAAGCAGTAACTTGTAGTAACACTAGTAATAAGATAGATATGCAAAAGAGTTTATTATGGAACACGGTATTAGCATGCATACTACGAGTATGGGAAAAGATGAACTGTAGATGTCTTGAAAACAAGGCTGTTGCAGTGCATAGACTGAAATGATAATGTTTATCTCTTTTGGCTTTTTGGACTTGTTACTTGAATTTCCCAGTTCCCTCCTGGAGCAAAATTGATTGGCTCTTTTGTCACTTGTATATAAGTGGGCACCCAGTCACTTGTATATAAGTGGGCACCCTCTTAGTGCTGTTTTTGTGGAGCTAACCTTTGTGATGTTCTTTTTTCTTCTTTACTATTTAATGTATTTTTAAATGCATGTACAGGGTTCTCCCGAGGAATTTATTTGTAAGAACAGAGAAGCCCTTGAAAGCGAATATGTGAGCTCAAATCTCCACCACTGGATTGATTTGGTGTTTGGTTACAAGCAGCGGGGAAAACCAGCAGTTGAGGTATGGGGAATCAGCTTTAGCATCAATTAATTCTAGAACCAGTTGTAGGGTTTGAATTCACTGAATTTTTGGAGATATTGTCATACAGGCAGCAAATATTTTTTATTATTTGACATATGAAGGGGCTGTGGATCTGGATACCATGGATGACGAATTGCAAAGGTCGGCAATAGAAGATCAAATTGCCAACTTTGGTCAAACACCAATTCAACTTTTCCGGAAGAAACATCCTAGAAGAGGACCTCCAATTCCAATTGCCCATCCTCTACGATTTGCTCCTGGTTCTATTAACCTAACATCAATTGCTTCATGCGGAAGCAGTTCTTCATCAGCTACTCTGTATGTTAATGTGCTGGACTCAAACATTGTCCTTGTGAACCAGGGCCTCACCATGTCGGTTAAGACATGGGTGACCACCCAGTTGCAATCCGGTGGGAACTTCACCTTCTCTGGCTCACAGGTAAGTTTTAGAGAAATAACAAGGTCAAGCATTATGATTAGTTAGTCAGATTTGAAGTCATTTTTAACTTTCTTGCAGGATCCTTTTTTCGGTATTGGTTCTGATGTTCTTCCCCCTCGGAAAATTGGGAGTCCTTTGGCTGAAAATATTGAGCTTGCAGCACAATGCTTTGGAACATTATCAACAACATCTGAAAATTTTTTGATAACATGTGGTACCTGTGAAAACAGCTTTCAGGTTATATCGCTAACTGATGGCAGAATGGTGCAGAGCGTTAGACAACATAAAGATGTTGTGAGCTGCATTGCAGGTAATTTTCATGACTGAAATATGTGGCAACTTGGTTGGAGCTTCTCACTAACAAATCTACACACTGAGTGTCTCGAAAAATGAAGTAAGCTGAGAACCTATATGAGATGAGCGCTGGAAGCATGAATTTTCTAAATGATTCTTGTCATGGGATAGTAATTAGGAACTGAGAGCATTGACATTAGACTGACTTAGCAGTCCAGAAAATCCTGTTGTTGTTCGAAGGATGTAAAGTACAATTCTTGTACTTGGCATCTTCTATAAACCAACTATTAGCCAGACCTTCCTGGCATTGAATTACTTGTCCATTTAAAATTGCAGACCTCTGACTTGTCTAATTGGGTGCTTATAGTATCTTTCTGTTGAAAATTTGTGCAAAGCGACATGTTAAAAAATGGTAAATAAATATATTATAGTGGAGCAAGTAATTTTCATAATACTCCTGTCTCCTGATTCTTGATCTCTTGCTTAGCTTTTTCCATTTTTTGTTTCATAGGAAACAAGCAAAAATGGAAAGTAGGTCTTCTCATCCTATAGTTAAAAATTGTTTTGAATTCATGGGGAATGCGCAAAACAACTGAACAGCTGTTCCGATATTTTATCATCACATCTTGTCATTGTCATCTATCCCAAGCTTCTTGATTTCCCAATTAATCTTTTTCTTCACAATGCACAAACCATCTAATGTTAGTCTCCACCCTCCATCTATGTTTTAAATTATATTGATCCAAAGAGGGAGTAATAGGCTTGTGAGATTTCTAAAAAGTGAAATTGCATATTTTGGGAATAAGGACTTTAAAGTAAGAAGGCAAAGCTTTTATCGCACCTGATAAAACAGTAGTTATACAACACTAGGTGATTTCTTCTCATCTATCCAAGCCTTTACGGACAGAGTTACCTGATATATGTGCTGGTAGGAGGTAACAGGTACCGCGTGGAATTAATCGAGATTAGGAAACAATAGTTATACTACAATTCTTATTTGCTTATAGTGCAGTGAATCAGTTAGGAACTGAGAATTTTTTAACTGGATAGTAACATTAAATATGTGGAGGCTGAGTATTTATATGAGAACAGACTAAGTTATTATGCCAAAGTTGAGGGGTGTGTTTCCTATCATGTCGGTACAGTTAATTAACAAATTTTTGATGTTGAAGAATACCAAAATATCAAACACTTGGGGTTCAATCTTGGCAAAGAGGAACAATCAATGTGGAGTAGAGCTCCGTAACTATTGAAGGCAGTGTATTTATCTGTGAATATTTATTTCCATTTTGTTTATTCCCTCTAAGAGGTGGTAAGAATGATCTCACATGATGGACAATATTCATTACTAGGAGCAGGATAGGGCACAGTTCTGAAACTTTTTCTTGTTTTTGGTCCTTGGCTTCCTCTACCAAGAAAAAATAGTCACCTTCCGAATGTTAAATTGGTATCTCTTTGTTTTGATGACTTTTAGATCTTTACCAACTGTCTAGGATGAAGATTATCGAAGAGTAACAGTTATCGCCTCGACAGTTGATGCGAGTCTTCAGAGTTTGCAATATGCATCCTACCCATCTAAAAAGAAAAAAAGAAACTTCTCAAAAAGCAATCCTCTTTTCTATCAGTTGGAATAAGTTTTGGTCGTGTTAGTACGTTGATTTTGAACCTATTGCTTTTCTAGGAGTATTTTGACCTTATCATAGATTTACGTGCCAGTAAAATATAGAGAACGTTTATTATTATTATTATTATTATCATCATCACTGTTATTTTATATATATTTATATTATTTTTCACTTTTATCTTTATTTCGGCACGATGACATGATTTGAGCTTAAGTACAGAAACATGGTCTGTGAGCATTCATATATCTGTCCTCTCTACTTTTTGGGTATATTTCTTGTATACAGGAGTTTTCTTTTTCTAACATCCGTAAAATTATTTTCTTTATCAAAAATATATTGTCCGGTTACGTCACTGGAATGATATATTTCTTAGTTATCCTATATTTTTCAGTAACGCTAAGTTCTGAACCATTTTAATTCTTGCAGTTACATCTGATGGAAGCATCCTGGCTACTGGAAGTTACGATACAACAGTAATGATCTGGGAGATTTTTCGCATTAGAACCCCTGAAAAACGAGTAAAGCATACTCAAGCAGAGATTCCTAGAAAAGATAGCATCGTTGCCGAAACCCCTTCCCATATTTTGTGTGGTCATGATGATGTTATTACGTGCTTGTATGCAAGTCTTGAGCTTGATATAGTTATAAGTGGATCAAAAGATGGAACTTGTGTTTTCCATACGCTACGGGATGGGAGATATGTTAGATCCCTACGGCATCCATCTGGCAGTCCATTGTCAAAGCTTGTTGCATCACGTCATGGGAGGATTGTTCTTTATTCTGATGATGATCTTAGTTTGCACCTCTATTCTATAAATGGGAAACACATTTCGTCTTCGGAATCCAATGGCCGCCTGAACTGTCTTGAACTGAGTAGCTGTGGTGAGTTCTTGGTTTGTGCTGGAGATCAAGGGCAGATCATTGTACGTTCTATGAACTCACTTGAGATTGTGGGCAAGTACAATGGAATCGGGAAAATAGTAACTTCACTAACTGTGACACCGGAAGAATGCTTTGTTGCTGGGACCAAGGATGGAAGTCTTCTTGTTTATTCGATAGAAAATCCTCAACTTCGTAAGACTAGCTTTCCGAGGAATTCAAAATCCAAAGCTTCTGTGACATAGCGAATTTGCAGTTCAGGGCTGCAGTGTAAATTTAACAATATCATCACTGAAGGTGATGCCGAGTTGAGGTATGCTTCTAGGTCTTTCATGGAAAAAAAGGTTCATATGGTTTGAGTCTATTGTTAGTTTCCTGGCAGTGAACTATTATGTATGAGTTCATTTTCCTGTTTCTTTCCTTTTTATTGTTGCTGCCCCTCTAAGGGTATTTACTGTACTGATCTTTATTTCATGTACTCCATGCTCTGCCCTCAAGAAGCTGCACTAGATGCAAGCTTGAGCAAATATCTCAACCTAGAAGCCATAACAGATGCTTCACCAGGGGAACCTAATGATTACGTATCAACCCAAAATCCCTCTACAGATGAACATTAAAATGTTAAATTTGGAATTGTTTTGCGAAACAACTTAACAACATGTTAAATTGTTAATTCCCCAATTGAACAGTGTTGGTCATTCTTTCAAATGTTAATGAATAGCAGATGGCCTTGCCTGCTAGGAGCTTGTATATTTATTTTGCTCTGTGTCTCCAAGGGTGAAATGGAGAAGTTCACCAATATGCAGTAGGGTCCCACCAAAGGTTTAAGATGTCCGTTTGCAGGATAGAAAATTGACGTGTCCCAGTTTATTTTCATCATTCGTTTGATCTGTGAGTAGCAAAATGATTCTTGTAAACAGTTTGTTAGCGTGCTTTGCCAAGAGAAGCAGTGCTGCTGCAAGTCAGGGACATGAATTGGCAAATTTATAGCAACTCTAAAGATCACATATAGCAAGACGAAGGCATTTTTCCTAGGAGTTTTGAGCATCAATCTCCAGATGGATGTCGTGCAATAACATCTTGTTCCAGAGCCATACTAGGGCAAGGTGCATCTTAATTTGGACCAGACTAAATAATCAAATCGATGAATCCCAGTCTAGGCAAACCGATGGTTTCACTTGTTAAGAATTGTAGCATTTGTACTCAAGATCCTGCTCTTTTGCAAGTGAAGTGTCCTCCCTTTCTATCTCCCAATTCTAAAATGTAGTACCAAGTACTTGTATTGTTTACTCTTGTTGTCTAATATAAATGGCGGTTTTATGTTTTCCCATACATCATTTTCCCGGATGTTTGGTTTTGTCGTCTGGTAATAACCTTCTTGGTTCATTTGTATTGGTGTTCAGGGTGAAATGAAGCACATTAAGTCAAGACGGACAGCTATATCATTGGAGTACCTGATTGGGGTTCCATTTTTTGAAGAGGAAAAAATGGATCTTTCTTCAGTAGTTATTATAGCAGTATCCGTGGTAGGGTTCTTTGAGCCTCAACTTGTAGAATGATAAAGAATGGCAGAATATAGCCCCATCTCAACTTGCGATACTCAGCTATCTGAAAGCAGTTGCCACCACCTAATGTACAGCATTTTGTGCACATTTTCTTTGTGATAGGCCTCAAATGTTGTATTAACAATAGTAATCAAACAGCATTGAAATTAGCACCTTGTGATTGCGATCATTGGGTGTTTAGCCCCAAATGATTTTTGTATAGATGGGCTTCACACCCTTAGAAGGAAAACTATATATTTAATAAAAATTCATTGTGATTCCCCTGTTCTCTCCATTTTGTTGAACTTTTCCATTCATTTGTGAGCATCTTGTTTTGAGCCTGTTTTTTCCTTTCTCCTTTTTTGGATGCTTAAATTTTACTCGATACGGCGTATGATAATGCACCCGGCAGAATGGACATTCCGTTGAACCAAGGACCAAAGTCTCATCTCAGCTTTTGTTGAAAGTTACCAATTGAAGTGAAGTGTTTCTTCAAACAACAAGAGGTAGGATCTGGTGCAAAATCAGTAGTATTGGGGGTTTCTGTTTGGAATTTTCTTGTGTAAAGAAGTGTAGCTAAGCCATATCCATGAGCTCCATTTGGTCATTTTTTTATTAAGCATATGAAGCATGGATGGTCTTTAAAAGACAATTCAATTAATCCCTTAAAAAATTATTTAAGGACTGAAAAGCTACCAGTGGCTGAAGTTATCCCAAAAATTTGTTCAGAGACTTTACCTTACCGCTAGCTAGGGAAGTAAACAAGTACTCTCTAGCTAGAGTGCGCATNGGCCATAAAAAAGTTTTGAAAATATTATTTGTTTATGAAATATGATCATGTTTGGGGAAAGTTTCAAACAAGTTTTTGAGTGAAAGTTGTTCTTCCACTCACAAAACTTCAACTTTTCTTCAAATAAAATGCATGTCCAAATATAATTTCGACTTTCAAAAATTATTTTTGAAATACAACTTCAAAAACTCTTTTTTCAAGTTTCAATTAAATTTATGTCCAAACGCTAGTTATATATATAGGTAGTAGGTATACTCTAGAGAATGAGAACCTGATTGGAAATAATATTCTGGCTATGCAAATAAAATTCTTCGAGGGGGTTAGTGAAGCAATTTTTGTTATGACAGTATGTTGGTACCCAAGGTATACTAATAACATAAATTCATGGGACGTACAAAATGAAAATAAATTCAGAAACAAAATTAGGAAAGTAATAGACATTGTCATTTTACTGAGAAATACTTCTTGAATAGGAAAAAAATACTTCTTTTTTTTAAAGGATGGAATGCTTCTTTGTGCCAACAAGAAGGATATTGAATGCTTAACAATTATAAGAGTACATCGTATTAAAACTGGCACGAACTTGTTGCTTTTTCTAACTTCGTGTGGAATTTATAGCTTCCGTAAATAATTTAAAAAGTTAATAAATAAATTTTAGTTAATTTTAAGGCATCAAATTTTAGGAAAAGTAATATGACGAAGTTATAATTATGTTATATAGTTGGAATAAGGAAAATATTTAAATAAGGTAAAATCTTGATTATTTTAAAGTCCTAAATTTTAGGACTTCCTACATATTCCAAATAAGAAAAATTTAATAATAAGATTTTAAAGTCATAAATATTAAAAAACTAATTAAATTATATGATTGTGCAGCATCATAATTGTTAAACATTAATTTTTTTCCAATTACAAAATTGATAATAAAAATATTGTTATGATTAAGTAGAGGATTGTATTTGATTTTGTCCTTGAGATTGTGAATATATTAATGTTAAGATTATGAAATATTCTTGGTAAAAGGTAAGTGTTTACCTATGAAATCTCGTCTATGAGTGAGATAATAGTTTTCGATGATAATTCACACTTTCCATATTTATAGTGTATTTAATTGTCCATGCTTTGTAATTATTATATAAGCTAAAATCATAATGGAATATAAAGTCCCAAAATATTAGGATCTCTCACATATTTTAAATAAGGAAAGATTTAATTAATAAAATTTTAGTTGAATTAAAATCCCTAAATATTAGGAAGATAATTAAATGACTATTTTGACTAGTATGAACTCTATTTTTAAAGGGGGTAAAAAAGGCGAACGATATTTCGCTAAGGGACTTCGTGCTTTTAATAGATTTGGCGTGTCCTGGCGCTTGACATATGGCATGATTTTTGTGGGTTGTCTAAAGTTGCGCCAAATAAAATTTATAAAAAGCTGCTTTTGGCTCATGTAATTGAAAAATGTAGAATTAACCCAAATAGTCGTCTACCTAATTGCTTAAAGTAAAAATAGCAGACAGATATATAATATATATATAATTCATGTATAATATGCGTATAATTAATGTATACCGAATAGAAAAACTAAATATTAAATCTGGACGGCTATTTGTGTAAAATTTCCTTGAAAATTAGTCATTGTCGAGTTTAAAAATTTGACAAATGAAACTTCAGGCGTTAACTTGAAGTTTCATTTTTGAAGTTTACAACTTTATGACAGTACGTTTTTCAATTACAAGGCTGAAAAGCTAGCCCGCACTACTATTACAGTGGCATAATGCAATCATTAGCTTGGACTTTTAGATGAGCTAATAACCGTCATCGCGCTTAGTGAAATGGACTCATCTTTTGTCCAACTAAATAGATTAGCCCAAATAAAATCAGATAGAAATAGCGTGGATAGTCACTTTTTAATATTTATCCAGTATTTTTAATGTTGAGCATTAAAATTACGTTTTTACCCTTTTTTCATGAGTGCTGCTTTGTAGATATTAAGAACATGGTATCCTCAACATTTACAATACATACATGAAGTTAAGGACGCCATTCCTTAACATTTACACTGCACATATAAAGTTAAGAACCTGATATCCTAAAGTTTAATAACGGAAGGTGCAAATACATGACACTTTGTCCTTAATATTTACATAGCATTCATGAAGTTAAGGATACCATGTCCTTAATATTTACACAACACTCATAATGTTAAGGACATTATGTCCTTAACATTTACACTGCACACATGAAGTTACGGACACCATGTCATTAACATGTACACTGCATATATAAAGTTAAGGACATGAGATTCTAAAGTTTAACAACAGAAGGTGCAAATACATGACACTTTGTCCTTAATATTTACATACCATTAATGTAGTTAAGGACACAATATCTTTAATATTTACACAACGCTCATGTCTAGCACAGGGGTATTTTTATCCGGGCAAGTAAAAATTTATTAAGCACTGGCTAAAGAGTAAAGACATCTCTAATTAGTGGCTAACTGTGTAATTCCCCTAAAGTCAGGCTTCAACTTAAAATCACGGAGGATTTAGATAATTAATCTTGATTTGTGACTGATATTTTTTGAATTAATTTCTTTTTCAAAATTTAATATGAGAAAATGATACCTAGAGTCCGACTTAATGACCAAAATGCTCCCTTTTTTGAAAAAAGCCCCCTTTGAAGATATTAAGACCAGGTTGCCCCCTCATTTCTATGTCAAGGCTTTACCAAAGGTCCTTCTCCTTCTTTTCTATGTTTTTTTTAACTTTTTTTTGTCTTCTTTATTTTTTAACTTTTTCTTATTTTCTTATTATTTTTTTCATTTTTTCTTCTTTCTATTAAAATTATGCACTCTTATTCATTTTTTCTTATTTTTATTTTCTTTTTTGTTGTAGTTATTTTTTTCTTTTTATTATTATATTCATTTCTTATTCTTTCTAATAGTAACTCTCTCACTCTTTTTTACTTTAATTTTTATCTTAATTTTTTATTTTTTTTCAATCTTATTCTTTCTCTGTCTGAAATATTTTGTCACTTTTTTTCCTTTTTCATTATTGTTTTTATCTTAATTTTTCTATTGTTTTTATCTTAATTTTTCTTCCGCCCAAAAGTATTATCACTTTATTTTACTTTTATTTATTTTTTAGATTAATTGTTGAGCCTTAAAATTTGTATTGGGATACTTTCTATACAATCAATAATCTTATGATTATCGAGAGTTACCATATTACTCTTTTTAATTCTTTTAGTTTTTTATTTAATAATTGAAGATAATTTTATTTCTTACCGTTTTCTACAAAAAATTAGATTTTAATTTTTAACCAAAATCTATTCATTCAAAACACTAGTCACTTTTTTTCCTAATAATTATTATTTTTATCTTATTTTTCTATTATTTCAGTAAAAAAATTGTTAAATTTTTAATCACTTTATTCCTCTTTTATTTTTATTTCTTTTCTTTCTAGATAAATAACCTAGTCCTAAAATTATTATTGAAATACTTTCTACACAATCATCAATCGATTATAGTTATCGATATTTATGGTATCACTCTTTTTTTTTTTAAAATATTTGTAGATGACTTTTTCTGCAATTTTTAAAGATATTAAGGGTTTTCTAAAATAAAAAATTTATCACTTTTTTTTACCTTTTTTATTTTTCTAGTTAAATCGACAAATCCTAAAAATTAGTATACTATGCTAATTATGGTATGCCAATATGTAGTATAATAAGAATATTAAGAGTACCATGATTCAACAGTAATTATAGTATATCAGTATGTAGTATATAAAAAAAAATGGGTATACCATTTAATGTATTCTAACAACGTATTTCATGATTTAACACTAATCATGGTATATCAATGTACAATATACCAAGGAATCTAATGGGATATTTTTACACAATCATTGGTCGATTATAATTATTAAGAGTTATTTTATCTTCTTTTTTTTGTTGAGTTTTTAAATTTTGTATTTCTAGATATTTTTTTTAATTTTCTAAGAAAATTTAGGTTTTTTTTAAAATAAAAATTTGTCACTCGTTTTTACCTTTTTTGTTCTTTATAGTTAAATTGTTGAATCCTAGAATTTGATATACTACATTAACCATGGTATGTCAATGTACAGTATACCAAAAATATGTGAATACCATGATGCAATAGTAAGCATGGTATATCATTGTATATTATACCAAGAATATCGTGTATACTATTTAACATACTCAAACAAGGTATACCATGATTCAACACAAATTATGGTATTTCAATATATAGTATGCGAGAATATTGGGTAATATATAACATACTCAAAAAAAGTATACCATGAATCAATACTAATCATAGTATATTAATGTGCAGTATACCAAGAATATTAGGTATACCCTTTAACATACTCACACGGATATACCATGATTCAATAACAATCGTGGTATATATTATAGTATACTAACAATATTAGATATACTATTTAATATACTCAAATAAAAATGTATTATGATTT